CCCCAAAACCCCAAAACCCCAAAACCCCGTGCCATTGTGGATATATTGATAAACCACAGAAGAATTTTAGTAAATATAAATAATTAAAGATCATGGATAACCCATCCACTTCTAAGTATAATTCGCTTCAGGAGGATTCTCAAGAACAGTCCTTGCCTTCTCTGAATTCTTTGAACAAAGGATTGAATAAGGAACAACAAGAGCTGCATGCTCAAAGCAGTGATGCTGGCACATTTCTTGGTTCAGCTATAACCCCTTCTGGAGAATTCAAGCCAGAAGACCCAAAGGAGACGATCAAGAGAATGTATGAGTTTGCACTAAAAAATGCTGACGATCAAAACTGAGCAGGACTATTTGCAAATTTAGTAAGTTCTATTCAATTATCATTAAATAAAGAAACTTTGCTAATTTTTAGGTAAAATCAATTCCTCAAAATATGTCCTCAAAGAGCCAAACAAACACTGCTAACTACTCAAGCGAAGGACAGTGTAAAATAGCCATCCAGAAGGATAATCGACCATCTAGCCCTAAATGAGACTCCTCTTTCAATACTGCCAGAGAATCAGCCCAGTTGTTGGAAAGTAAGCAAGAGATGCTTCATGATGAGAGCCAGCAGATAAGGCACAATTTCAAGACTAAAAATCCCTACCATAACTTACCTGACTTTTTGAAAGATAAGACTAAATCTCAGCTTGCACAAAGAAGTAGCGTTGACCTACATTGAAATGGTCAGAATTTTAGCCAAACTTCTTCTCAGAGAGGTGTGGTTAAAGAGATTTCTGTAGCAAACTCACTTCAAACAAAGCCTTTACTCGAAATTCAAAAGCCGGCTTGCTCAGTTTCCCCTGAAGTCAAAGGAACACCCCCAACTCCAATTCACCCCACACCTACACCACACTCTTACGTCAACCCGCCGCCTTCGAAATCCCCAATGCACCCCACTGGAGTAAAAACGTACTCTTCCTTATTCTCAATTTTCCCTCCTAGCCCTCCAAAGGCCCCTTTCCCCGCTACTGCCCAAGAAGAAGAGACCAAGCACAAGCGTGCATGTACATTTCCTGACTCTTTCGGATCTTCAGAAAATGAAAATAAAAACACCGATTTGGGATTTACGGCTAAATCTGAAAATCAAGATTTTTGTGATGATTTTTGAGGGAGAATAGGAAGCGAGAAAGAGAGATTTAGAGAAGGTGATGGCGCTGAAAGGGAAGGAATGGAGTGCAGAGGCTTGGAAGAGACGAATAGACTCATTAGAGAGGTACTTAGGTTGGTGGAAGGTACCCAGAAGAGGTGTGAGAGGAGTGATGTAGGTGTTCAAGTTGACTTGTGTCGAGGAAAATGAGGTGTTTCTAGTGAAGATCCTGAAATATTAAGTACAGATAAGTCATCGAAACTCAAAGTTGGGAAGAATAATACAAAATTTTTAGTTACTCCTCCTATTAAAAATAATGGAAAAGCTTGATCACTCATGAAATAATGGAGTCGGCTTGGAAAGGAATCTATAAATCAAGAAATGATTAATTCTTTACTATTGCTCTCTTTTTATTAAAATTTTAAATGGTGTAACCTCACTCCAATGTTTATTCGTAATCAGTGATACTTCCAGAGCTTCGGCCAAGCCCATCTTGGATGGGATGCTGACAAAGAGAAATCCAAATTTAGCATCTCCACTTGATAGATTGTTTGAGAATATTTTGATCCTGAATCATTTATCTGAATATCTGTTGATTTAGTGACTTATTTGAAGATGAACTCACAACAAGTCGATGGATGACTCTTGTCAGTTTATAATGACTTTATTTGAGAAGCTTGAGACGAACACAACAATGAAGATTGCATGTTCTCGGGCACAGGTTATACAGATGCAGATGGTGTCATCAAGACTTATGAAAAGCCTCATCCTTAGATAGTTTATAAGTTATTTATTGGCATCTTTGAGCTAGCTAAGACATGCTAGACATAAGTCAAGTCGATTAACATTTATGAAGACTTCAAGAAAATCCTTATCAAGTTATCATTTTAATCCAAGATCTTGGGAGTCTTTGCTTTTATCAATTGCTTGATTTCTCAATCACTTTGATAAAATAGTGTATAAAAGTATAATTTCATCTCAGATGCACTGAAAAACTGTGTGTAGCCCATGCAATATTTACCAAAATTATGTAAATATTCAAACACACAAATATGCAAAGAAATTGCTGAATCCTTGAAGATATTCCCTTATCTCCCAGAATCCACCTCAATAAAATTTAGCTATAACTTTGAAGAATGTTACATTCAGAAGGCAAATGTTATATTTCTGAAATATCTTACTCTAATGCTGCAGAAATTTGACTCTTTCGATCAAACCAAGATCACTAAGAAGACGGGTTTTAACAGTGGCTTAAATACCAAGAACTCTTACATAACTTGTGATGCGATCTCTACGATCATAAGTGACATCACCATATTGACAACAGTCTTGAGATAGACCACTCTCCATGCTCCACTTAGCCAGAGGACAAATGCAACCACTGTGACGATACTTTCCTCACCATTAGGATAAATATTAAGAGCGTAGTACAGATTAATACATCTTGATTTAAAAAGCAACAAATCCTGAAAGTAATGCTTACTCTAAATTCAACACAAATTATGAATATTGGGGTTTTGGGGTTTTGGGGTTTTGGGGTTTTGGGG